GATGTTGCATTTTTTTTTTAGCTCCCTGGATCAATAGGGTCAAAAGAGCTCTTCTTATCACTTATCGTCCGTCGTCGTCGTCTGTTAACTTTTACAAAAATCTTCTTCTCTTAAACTACTGGGCCAATTGGAACATAACTGGGGTATCTAGTTTAAAATATGTGTCAGATTATCAAGCCTTCCAACCGACATGGCCGACCTGGCTAACATAGAACATAGGGATAAATTGCACGTTTGTCTATGAAAACCGCTATAGATAGAGAAAATCTGACAGTGACACAAATAACCTAAATGAAAGTTATTACCATTTTTTAAATGTTTGGACAAAAACTAGATAGATAAAGAAAAACTGTAAATAAATGTAACAAAAATGATCAACAAGACATAATCTGCAAATATATCAAAAGGCCGAAATTGTTAATCGACTCCTTATTTGAGTAATTGTCCTCTAATGATGATTGTTACCCATTTTTTTTTAAATATTATTCAATTACTGTCATATATTAAGAAAAATGTATGCAGAAAACATTATCAGCAAAAACGAAATCCTAGTTATGAATTTTATTCTAGTCTTTGATGTTGAAAATACACATAGATCACGATGAGCAACACAGACTCGTTAGTTTCACAAGGCATAGGACTTCTAAAAAATCCCATTCCAACAAGTAGTGACTGCTTTATGATACATCTTGGACATCCGACTATGGGTTTCACTGACACAGAAGTAAAGTCCAATTGCAGATATTTCTATGCCCGTCAACCCGTAAGATACATATTATTGTAAGTGCACAAGTGCATTTTTAACACTGTTGGGCTAGTGCTGAATTTGGTGAATTCAAAAGAGTTTTTGCAGCTCATTGATTTTTTGTTTGATTACGAAATCTGTTGTTGAAGTAAGGTATGATTGCAACGTCCATTGGTCAATATTTCAGAGATATTAAAGACGATGCCGCATAATAGACTTATATTTTATTAGTTGTTACTGGCTTTGAACTAGCTTTCAGTTACTGCGGGTACTCTGAGATCTGTACTTTTGTGTATTTTGTGTTTTTGTTAGGTTTCTATGTGCGTTGTATCAATCTGATGAGTTAAGCCCTTTTCAAATGCTTTTCAGTTTCGTTCTTATGTCGTACTGTTACACCACTGTCCCAGGTTAAAAGGGGGGGGGGTGTTGGCGCCAGCAAACATGTTAAACCCCGCCACATTTTGTTTTTTTTTGTCCCCCGTCAGGAAGTCAGCGGTTGTCGTCTGTTGCTGTATATCATATTTGATTTTCGTTTGTTTTGTATATAAATCAGACCTTAGTATTCTCGTTGAATTGTTTTACATTTGTCATTTCGGGGCCTTTTATAGCTTACTGTAAGGTATGGGTTTTGCTCATTGTTGAAGGCCATATGGTGACATATAGCTGTTAACTTCTATGTCATTTGGTCTCTGGTGGAGAGTTGTCTGAATTGCAATCATATCACGTCTTCTTATTTTTATATTAATTTTTATCTTTCCTATACCTTTTTTCGTCTTTTTCATTTAGACCATCATATTCTATAGTATATGGAGCTAATGGATCCAAAAGTTTTCTTTTCTCCTTCTCGTCGCGATGTCCCACTCGGAGTTCACTTCTATAATTTGAAAAGAAACTTCATCAAAAGGATGTTTCTCTAAGCGACGATGTCTTGTGAGAGGACAGTTACCATCGATCATGGTCAGAACTAACAAAAATTGTCCTCTCACAAGACATCTTCGCTCAGAGAAACATACTTTTGATAAAGTTACTTTTCAAATTATAGATATCAAGAATGTGATCCCTTTCATAAGTTTTATCCTAAATGTGATCTCTCTCATTAGCCTATCTCTGAATGTGATGCCTTTCATTGGCTTTTCTCTGAGTGTTTTCACTCTCATAAGCTTTATCCTGAATGTTATCTCTTTCATTAGCTCTTCTATGCATGTAATCTCTCTCATTAGCGTTCTCTCAATAGCTGTTCTCTGAATGTAATTCCTCTCATAAGTTTTATCCTAGATGTAATCTCTCTCTTTAGCTTTCCCCATGAATGTGATCCCTCTTACTAGCTTTCCCTGAATGTGGTCCCTCTCATTAGCTTTTCTATGACTTTGATTCTTCTCATTAGTTTTTCCCTGAATGTGATCCCTCTCACTAGCTTTCTCTGAATGTGATCTTTCTCATAAGTTTTATCCTGAATGTTATCTCTTTCGTTAGCTTTCCCTGAATGTGATCTCTCTCATAAGCTTTCTCCTGAATGTAATCCCTCTCATTAGCGTTCTCTGAATGTGATCCATCTCATTAGCTTTTCCCTGAATGTGATCTCTCTCATTAGCGTTTTCTGAATGTGATCCCTTTCATTAACTTTTCTCTGAATGTGATCCCTCTCTTTAGCTTTTCCCCGACTGTGATCCCTATCATTAGCTTTCTCTGAATGTGATTCCTCTCATTCGTTTTCCCTGAATGTGATCCCTCTCATTAGCTTTCCCTTGAATGTAATCCCTTTCATTAGCTTTTCTCTAAATGTGATCCCTCTAACTAGCTTTCCCTGAATGCGATCTCTCTCATTGCTTTTTTCTGAATGTAATCCTTTTCATAAGTTTTATCCTGAATGTGATCTCTCTCATTAGCTTTTTTCTGAATGTAATTCCTCTCATAAATTTTATCCTGAGTGTGATCTCTCTCATTAGCTTTCCTCTGAATGTGATCCCTCTCATTACTTTTTCTGAATGTAATCCCTCTCATTAGCTTTTCCCTGAATGTGATCTCTCTCATTAGCTTTTCTCTGAATGTGATCCCTTTCATAATTCTTATCCTAGATGTATTATCTCTCATTAGCTTTTCTCTGAATGTAATTTCTCTCTTAAGTTTAATCCTGAATGTTATCTTTTCTTTAGCTTTCCCTGAATGTGATCTCTCTCATTAGCTTTCCCCTGAATGTAATCCCTCTCATTAGCGTTCTCTGAATGTGATCCCTTTCATTAGCTTTCCCCTGAATGTGATCTCTCTCATTAGCTTTCCCCTAAATGTAATCCCTTTCATTAGGTTTTCTCTAAAGGTGATCCCTCTCACTAGCTTTCCCTGAATGGGATCTCTCTCGTTATCTTTTTTTCTGAATATAATGTCTCTGATAAGTTTTATCCTGAATGTGATCTCTCTCATTAGCTTTTCCGTGAATGTAATCCCTCTCATAAGTTTTATCCTGAAAGAATGTGATCCCTCTCATTAGTTTTTTTTAAATGTAATTCTTTTAGTAGCTTTCCCTGTATTGGATACCCCTTATTAGCTTTTCCAGAATGGAAACCCTTTCATCTTTTTTTCTAGAATGTGATCCCTTTCATTAGCTTTTCCCTGAATGTGATCCCTTTCATTAGCTTTCTCTGAATGTGATCCCTCTCTTTAGCTTCGTCCTGAATGTGATTCATCTCTTAAGCTTCGTCCTGAATGTGATCCCTCTTATTAGCTTTGTCCAGAATGTGATCCCTTTCTTTGCCTTTCCCTGAATGTGATCTCTTTCATCAGCCTTTCCCTGAATGTGATCCCTTTCATTAGCTTTTCCCTGAATGTGATCCCTTTCATTAGCTTTTCCCTGAATGTGATCCCTCTCTTTAGCTTCATCCTGAATGTAATTCATCTCTTAAGCTTCGTCCTGAATGTGATCCCTCTTATTAGCTTTGTCCAGAATATGATCCCTTTCTTTGCCTTTCCCTGAATGTGATCTCTTTCATCAGCCTTTCCCTGAATGTGATCCCTTTCATTAGCTTTTCCCTGAATGTGATCCCTTTCATTAGCTTTTCCCTGAATGTGATCCCTCTCTTTAGCTTCATCCTGAATGTGATTCATCTCTTAAGCTTCGTCCTGAATGTGATCCCTCTCATTAGCTTTGTCCAGAATGTGATCCCTTTCTTTGCCTTTCCCTGAATGTGACCCCTTTTATTAGCCTTTCCCTGAATGTGACCCCTTTTATTAGCCTTTCCCTGAATGTGATCTCCCTCATTAGCTTTCCCCTGAATATGATCTCTTTCATTAGCTTTTCCCTGAATGTGATCCCTCTCACTACTTTCCCCTGAATGTGATCCCTCTCATTAGCTTTCCCCTGAATGTGATCTCTTTCATTAGCTTTTCCCTGAATGTGATCCCTCTCATTACTTTCCCCTGAATGTGATCCCTCTCATTAGCTTTTCCCTGAATGTGATCTCTTTCATTAGCTCTTCCCTGAATGTAATCCATCTCATAAGTTTTATCCTGAATGTGATCTCTCTCACTAGGTTTTTCCTGAATGAGAGCTCTCTCATTATTACCATCAACCTTTGTGGTCCAGGTGAACAGAATTTCAAATGTGAATTTGAGCAAAAGATTATAAGGAATATTCATACCAGATTTTAATCTATTAAATTCAGTAGGTCTTAAATATTGGAATCTTTACATATAATTAACCAATCTTAATAGTACACATGTGTCACCTTTGTTGCATGGCAACTCAATACACAGTGTTATAGAATATGGTTAGATGTCTCATTATATATGTCATCACTAATACTTCATTTTATAATGTTTTTGTTTTCTTTTGATGTCAATTTAGAGCCTAAGAGGTCAGTAATTTTTTCTGTTAAATACTTAAAAAAGTTAAAAAAGTACGAACTCAAGTTGAATAGCATTGAGGACCCAATATTCTGAAAGGTTTTGCGAAATACAGCTAAGGTAATCTATTCCTAGGGTAGAAAATCCTTAGTTTTTCAAAAATTTCAAAGGTTTGCTAACAGTTAATTTATAATTATGACCATATCAATGATAATTCATGTCAACACAGAAGTGCTGACTACTGGGCTGGTGATACCCTCTGGGAGGAAACCTCCACCAGCAGTGGCATTGACCCAGTGGTTGTAAATAAACTAACCATATTTAGCAAAGAATCTTTTGAAATCTTTTTAATGACTATGTTCATTTTCTGATGTCATTTGTTGTAACAGGGTTAATTAAAGTATTCAAACTAAATGTATATAAAGAGTCAATTTTATTAACATCTGGACGGATGACCATTGTATATAAAATGTTAACATTATTCATGGTGAAACATAAATAAATTTCATAAAACTTTAAAATACACAGATCACAGACTTCATGGAATAATTTAAGAATAAAAAAATATCACAAATATAATAACACTGATAGAATACAAAGTAATAACAAAGCACATAGTTCTTGTTTCTTATATATATAGGCACTACAGGCTCAAAATGTAATGCTGAGAAAAACATAAGATGTTGAAATGCTACAAGTTGCAACAATAGTCTATATTTGGTTATCATTAGGCACTTTCTACACATTAAACTTTCACAGAATGTGAAAACTATAAGGTATTTATGAAAGGTATCCAATATCTAATCATACAATGGTGTTCATTGCAGCAAAATGGCTTTTTGGTTCAATCGAAATTATGGCCATAACTTTTACTATCAATGTTGAATTGTAAGAAACTTGTAAAAGTAAAATTCAGGATAATGGTTTTTAACAGCACTCCTGTTTAAGATATCAAAACTAAGTCAAACCTTTAATATGTCATAGTACACTATTTATTTTTACATCAGAGAAACCTTAAAATCAAGTCACAAAATATTTTTTTGAAGTTCTGAATAAATGATTTTTTTGTGTCTTGTAAAAATTTAGTGAGAGGAATGTTTGTTCTTAATATTGCTGGAATGTATATCTCCCTCGACAATCAATAAAATACACATCAATTGATTCATTATCAAATATATCATTCTGCCAACACTATATCTACAGTATCAATACAGTTATGCTAGCCATGTTGTGGTTGGTTCAAGTCCTTTCAAGGCAAAGAATGTTTCCAGTTTATTGTCAAAATCTCCTGGTCTTTCATTAGGGTCTCTGTAACGCACAGTCATATTGTCACCAAGATATCGAATAAGTGTACATGTTTCTTCAAACTTCTGTAATTTTTGTTTATACTTCTTTCTCACATATTCAGAACTTTTGGGATTAAAAGCTGTAAAATAAAATTCATAGTATTATTTATCGAAATTTCAGAGCTGACTTGAGAAATATGCTGAACAAATTAAAAAAAAAATTATTTCCCCTCCTAAACATTTACTACCCCTTGATTTACCAAGGAGCTACATAGGAAGTGGCTGTTAAAACTGAACAGTTACAAAACTGAAAATTGCAAATTAAATTAAACCAGAGTTTAATGCTAAATAATCAACAGACTGTCCACAGAAATAGTAAAGAAGAATAATTCTATTTGTCTTTCAAACATAGCAGCATTAACAATCACTTTTCTACTGTGATATCCATTATACAATATAAAACCAAAATCTTAGCGGACTTTTATTTGTTTGTCATAATCATAAGTAGGATTTTCAAAATAACCAACAATACCACTTACCTTTTAGATGATATGCCACATACAGCTGTGCGGACCTAGCAGGCGTTAAGAATGGATATTTTGGTTTAAAGTTTCCAACGGCAGTTAAAGCCTTGACCATATTAGTAGCGGCAGTCTGTTCCAAGTATCCTAGCATTGGTAATCCAGTCACTGGTAATGGATCTTTGGGTGGGGGCAGTTTGTGGGGGAGAGTCAAATTTGAGTACTTCTCTGGTAATCTAAAAAAAACAATAACAATAACAATAACAACATAATAAAAATATTAAGGTAAATTTACATCATTTTAGCTATTTTGCAATTGGAACATACAAAATTTTATACACCGAATCATCTATATCTGTTCTTTACAATCTATCTTGATATACTTTTAATAATAAATTTTTCGCAATACTGAACTTAAGAGGAGGTATGTTAAGACCGAATAAAAACATCAGCTTATTCCAAATTATCTTTAAGGACTTACTTTAAAAATTTGTATAATTTTTCTTCAGACTCCATGTAAAAGAATTTCCCTTGGTATTCTCCAATAAAATCTGGATTTCCAGGCACAATAGCCTCATATCTAGAAAAAGAAAATAACATACATATAGATGTAAACAAAATACTGGCCTGTCAAAAATACGGATATCTATAATAACAACAAAATTTGTACCTGACTAATGACCATTATTGAGAACATTTCAGTGAAAATCTAAATTCTTGTTGCTGTTTTTTTAACCCCAAGAGTGACTGGTGAATAGAAATATGGTCTCTTCTGACTGGCAATAAAACCCTTGCCAAAGTGGGGCATCCATTTGGTTGTACAGAATGTATAAATTAGCATCCACATCTGGTCAAAATGGGGACATTAAATCTGATGCCTCGTGTGGAGAGAATCAGAGAGTGCCACGCTCTCTGCACATTAAGAACCCTTGCAACAACTCTTTTGAGGGGGCTATAGGCGGCCTGTTGCAATGCTAAATTTCTACCACTATCCAATTAACTCTCATTTTCTAGTGGCAGTCCAAATTTCCTGTCCTTCATCCCAGTCAAACTGTTTACAGGAGCTACCTATTATATGTATTGTTAATTTGTTCTGAACATGCAAGAAATATTTGCCACTAGATGTTAAGCAAGCAAATATCAATCAATTAATCTTGTTTTTTTAATCAATAAAATTAATCAATGAATAAAAGCCAGCAAAATAATATCAAAATAAATTGCATACCTGCATTGTCCATCCAGGAATGTGACAGGACAATAACCTTTCAGTTCTATTGACTGTGAAGCTTTCACTTCTTTAGGACTATGTCTCTTGGGTAATAATTCTGGAGCAGGTAATTCCTTAGGGGCTAGTGGAGGAACATATTTCTCTGGGTCTGCTAAGAATTGATGTAACTCTTCTGGACCTGCCATCTTGTAATAATGAGCTGCAATAGAAATATATTTCAATTAGATACACGTATCTTTATGTCTTGTTGGTTTTTGTTGTTGTAGTATCAAAGCTTATTAAGAAGCTAAATTAACAGCTGGTTATCAACTCTAACCATAAACTCCATTGCATGACAATATATTATTGTGCACAAATTGGGAATTTAACCCTGATATTTCTAACTTAAAAGGAATGAACTTTTGCTTTGAAATGAAACAACATTTCTATATAGAGAACATTCCATATATTAAGGTATTGAAACATAAAACCATTTTAAGGTACATTGTTTTTTCACCATTGAACTTTTATTAAAAAGAGCCATAAAAATGGTCCCTTAACTCTAACTTTGATAAGAAACCCATCCTTAATTAAATTTAATCTCTGATTAACAAACCTCTAAACTCTGCAGCATATTCCAGTGTTGGATTTGGTGAACAGTCCACAAGTTCTCCCCGTAATGCCAAACTGACAGGACAATACTGTCCATAATCTCCAACTCTCTGTAGGAACTCGTTTGGTGTTATACACATTTCACTGATAGAGGCAGATTTACCTTCAATATTAATATATATTTTGATGACAATAATTGACATAGCAAATTTTGAAATCTTGATCTCTCAAACAAATAAAAAGAATGAACAATGTCACTATATATATTGCGTTTTGTTTAAATATACTTTGTCACTTTTTTGGTCTTTTGGAAAATGTTGTTTGTGCTGTATTTAGACCCCTTTACCAAGAAACTTGTTTTGCATGCACACGTATAAAAATTGCGGTTTTTATCCAACACAATCATAGGTTTGAACGTTGTTTTCAATTTAGACTTGTATATATACATATATATATATATATACAAGTCTAAATTGAGAACAACGTTCAAACCTATAAATGAAACATTAATAAAAGCAACATTTTCTCTGTGAGTATAATAGTGATATAAACAATGTCACTATAAATGGAACATTAATGAAAGCAACATTTTCTCTGTGAATATAATATTGATAAGCCATCGCAAGCAGTAACTGTAATCAACAATTATTTTTTTTATCTTTTCAGGTAAATCAGAAAAAGAAATATCATGATTACTGTCCTATTCAAGTAATCCTTTTTTCCATACATTCTTAGCTGTACTTTTAAATTAATGCATCAATAGCTTTATCCAAGGAATGAAAAATCAAAAGCATTGATATCATTAACCAAGAAATGAAAAATTAAGAGCATCCATAGCTTTAACTGAATAAATATACATACCATCAGATATTCTCTGTAAGTAGGTCTGTATTTTCTTCACACTTTCATGAGCGATTTCCAGACTTCTGTTCCACACCCACCATTTTGACCTTTCACCACTGACCTTAATGAAGTTCATGTGTTCCTGTTGATAATATTCTCTTATTGGAGACACTTCCTTGTTATAAGCAGCCAGCTTTATTGCAAGAATCTGGGCACTGTCATGAAGGGGAAGCATTCTGCAAAAAAATATGTAACTTGTTACTTTCAAAGGTGAAGTTTTTGTAACTACAATATAATGGTTTTCTTATAACTATTTGTACACAGGATCAATTTCCACATGCAAGTAAAATAGCATGCACACAGAAAACAACATAAAATATCCTTTTTAGTAGGAAATTGAAAACCTTTTTCAAGTAAATTCCAAGATCCATTTCTGAAAATTCCAAATAAACTTTAACTTGTCAACAATGATCTGACCTTTTCATGTTAATAATCTGTTAAAATACATAATAATCAACTGAACATTTTTTGGTGGGCGTTTATAATATCTAAATCAAAATCTTTCTTGCCACTTGATAAATATCTATCATCACAGTATTCCATATCTTACATATTTTACAAAATTCAATAAAAGTAGTAATAGACCATTAGACATCACAGTTCCATTAATTAAAAAAAGTGCATTTTGTAAAGTTTTAAGTATTTAGTAAATATGCTCTCAACTATTTTCATTTCTGCCAAAGAAGCAATGATTGAAAATTAACAAAAAAACATTGATGAAAGGCTAATATAATTCTTGGTTAAACAAACCTTGCAGAAGACATCCTGTCTCTCAAGCCTCTGACCATAACTTCTTTACTGTTTATTTCTAGCTCTATAACACGAACTGGTATGATACATCTCTCTGTCATTAATTCTACCTGTTTCATTGTTGTAGGGAAGCCATCCAGTATATACCTACAACATACAATGTATAATATAATAACTAATGTCAATCTTTGTTGTTTGAATGAATAAATGGGTTTATTACAGTACAACCTGAAGTTGATGATTAATACCACATGCCTATTGTAACAAATTCGTCCAATAAATACATGTTAATTTTAAGTAGCTGTATGTGAAATTAGATGTGTGCTTTATTGATGTTTACATCTTAGATCAAAATTATTGAATTACTTTTTTTTCTTCTTCAACAACAAAAATATGAGAGGTGTAACAGAGAATCTTTTCCTGCAGTGTTTGTCCTTTTGGAGTAAAATCACTAATGTAAAAATTACATGAACACTTTTTACTAGGGACTTATTTCTGACAGAACAAACGCTTAAGTGTGAGGATGTCATACATTAGGACATTTTACATACAAGAAAGTCTACACAATCGAATTTATTTCTGCTTACAGAAGCAGAATTCCATTTTTCATTCTTTTTAGCTTATTTTCACATATTTCTGAAAAATTGAGTCTGAATGCAAATGTGCAAAGATCAGTATACCATGAAATAAAACAGTGAGCAGACAATCGTTTGTGGACATACCCTCTTGTCTGACTTCTCATTTCTAACAAACAAATATCCATGGCTTGGACTGCTAACTCATCAGGAACTGTCAATCCTTTAGTCACATGTTTGACAAGCTGTATAGAGAGATCAGATTTAGGTTGTTCCAACATAACACGTCTCATAGCTTCTCCTATAGACAGTCGAACTAAACCGTACTCTTCAACAAATCTGTTTGCCACTGAAATCACAATATTCCAATTAAAATGTTTGAATTACAATTATACTCTTTATTTATCACCATGTTTGTTTAGCATACATAATGCTACTTTTAATAAAATACACAGGTTTTATAACTGAACATTTAAAGTTCGGTCATTCTTTGCTTGCTTTTATTTTTTTCAAAGCCCTAAGCATATTTTTTTTCGCACAGAGATCACAATAAGGTACACTGAATCAATGATGTAATCTATCTTTTTTTCTAGATTTTTTTTAATAGACAATTAAATTAACACTATATGTTTTCAGGGTTATGCATGGGGCATGAGATATTATCAATGGGTGAAAAGAGAATAAGTATTTATGAAAGTCTTCCTCGAGTCAGATGTCATCCAATTCCTGAGAAACTTACAAGCAGTTTTTCCAGACTTTGGAGGTCCTATGACTGCCATTCTGATTGGTACCACTGGTTTGGGTGTTGGTTGTTTAAGGAATGCCATTGGATCTAAAATGAATTCATCTCTGGCTTGGACTGAAGACAGGAAGTAAATATGATGTCGATATATACATGGATATGTGGCAAATCCCATACCACTCATTGGCTGGATACAATTTCCTTCCTTAGACTGAAATGTGAAAAAATATATATTATAATAAAAACAAGAATATGTCCATAGTACACGGATGCCCCACTCGCACTATCATTTTCTATGTTCAGTTGATTGTGAAATTGGGGTCAAAACTCTAATTTGGCATTAAAATTAGAAAGATTATATCATAGGGAACATGTGTACTAAGTTTCAAGCTGATTGGACTTCAACTTCATCAAAAACTACCTTGACCAAAAACTTTAACCTGAAGCGGGACAGACAGACAAACGGACAGACGGACAAATGGATGCACAGACTGAAAAACATAATGCCCCTAGGTGGGGCATAAAAATTACAATAAACTTCTTAGATCAAATGAGACTTTATACATACAATGAAAATATGTTTGTCTGACTTTATTTAAACTTTATATTGCAAATAACAGCCAAATATAATATACATAGCTGAAAATACAATGTACATATAGAAGACATACAATTGAAAACCTTAAACAATGCTAGCTTAAGGTATTTTAATCACTAAATAAAGCAATACATTAATACAAACCCTAACAGGACACCATCTTCCAAATCTACTGGGCTGTTTATATCCAGTCTGTAACATCCTTCGTGCTAAGGCTTCACTAATAGGATACACTCTTTCAAACATACTGTGTCGTGCTTGTACATATTTCTTCAGTTTTTTATTCAGAACGTAGGATACAATGTGAGGTTTTCTAGTACTATCAACTTCTACAGAATCAATAAGCACCTCCATAAAAGTTGACTGAAAAACAGTAAATAATCTTAAAAATAGGAAACATAAAGTATTTTCTAATATGAATATAAGATGTGGTATATAGGTCAATGATATATCAATGCAACATCAAATAAACCTATAGACATCCAAATATATATGTATGCTATCATGCATAAAAGAACATCCTGAAGTCTGTTAAAATATAGGATGTTGGCATTTATCTTTTTATTAAAAAATGTAAATTATCAAACACTTAATCCTGGTAATTTTATTCTGTCGTTAGCCTCTTACTTATCATGACATGTTAATTCTGTTTTCATCTTTATCAAACACTTAATTAAGTTCCTTTTCTTCTGTCTTCTGAACCTTACTTACTACAATATTTTCCAGTCTGTTCTGGTTTCATCATTATCAACATGTAATTAAGGTAATTTTTCATTCAATCTTAAGCCCCTTACTTACCACAACATTTTCCAGTCTGTTTTTATCATTATCAACATGTAATTAAGTTCATTTTTCATTCAATCTTAAGCCCCTTACTTACCACAACATTTTCCAGTCTGTTTTTATCATTATCAAAGACTTCACTAAGATCATTTTTCATCCTGTCCTGAGCCTCATCCTCAGCCTCTTCCTCCTCCTCTTCTTCTTCTTCTTCCTCTTCAAATTCCTCAGCTAACATGGCTTCAATACTATCTTCCTCTTCTTCTTCTTCTGCTTCTTCTTCAATCTCTTCATCCGATTCAGCCTCTGCTCTTGCTGCTTCTTTTTCAAGCTATGATATTAGAAATGTATAACCAAAAAAATGATTGTGAAATTAATTAATTTATCATTATACATAACTACAAATAATACAAAACATATGTCTGTATTACTTGTTTAACCTCTTGTTTGCATGATATGGTCTGTAATGGTCATTTAGCTAGCGGTAATCAAATGAAACAACAAGCAAGTTATTAACAAATGTGATTTTATTTTTTAATTCTGCCAAATTTTTGGAACAAGCAGATGCACCTCATGGAACCTTCATAAAGATAGTTCATACGGGGAAATATTTTCTACACCTCAAAATATTTTAATCTTTATAAAGTCTTTTGAAACAACAATGAAATTGTCTTATCAAGAATTGCAAATATTTAGGACATTCTCAAGCACATTTCTTATAAAAATTTACTATTGTAGCTTTTCATTAAAAAATGTTAATCAATCACTTAATCTAATTTTTGTGCATCTTTTTTTACTTCAACAAATATATATATACATTTGAAGAATGCATTGTGGTTCCTACTATTCTTAATTTGAATTTGATGAATAGCTAATATCAATTTTTAAACAACTTACCTGTCTTTCTCTTTTCCTTTCTTCTTGTTCCTTAAGTAATTCCTCTCTCCTTTTCTGTATTGCTTCTTCCTGAAATTAAATAAATTCTTATAGCTTATAAATATAAATTCATACTCTGAAGAACACGAAATTCATAACTATTTGTATTCAATGATATCATTGACATGACAGCAACTGACAGAAATCAACTGAACTTGCAAAATGATTTGTTACTATTAGTCTAAGGACTTTTTCCTTACCCTTTTCTTTTTAGACTTTTCCTTCTTTTTCTGTTTGATTGCTAATTTTTTGTCTCTTCTTACTCTCCATTTTAACATCTTTGGAGGTAGTAATCTGTTGATAACATCCTCGACCTCTACATTCAGGATAACCCCCACGTCAGGGAATAATCCCATCTCTGCCAAGTATTTAGCTTCCTCACTTGTCCTAGGAAACCCTTCCAAAATAAACCCTGTAGATCTAAAACACAAAAAAATACTTGTTACAGCACATATATACTTGTATATATTTGTGTGAGTACAAAAAATAATTATTTATAAAGTATAATTTGCTTGTTTATCAGGTGGACCATATTTACTATGTTGTCATTAGCCTATCAAATGAGATGCGTCGGATAAAAATCGACCTTATGCAAATGAAATTAAATACATCTGTTAACTTGTTTTGGGTTGGAATAATCTCTACAGGAAGTTTTTGTAACTGTTTGAAAATGAGTTGTTATAAGAACCCTACAAAACAGACCAAAATTCATCTTTTATTTCGTATTTGAATGTACCAAATCAATCAAATTCTTATACATGTACATGTATATGTGCACTTGCATAAGGTCGATTTCTATCCGCCGCAGCTCAAATCATAGAACTAATAGCAAAACAATGACTGAAAAAAAATATTTTACCAGTTTATCTTCATCTAAACAATAGCAAATAAAGACTCAACACTAAACTAATAAAGAAGGAGCTTATATATCGTGCACTATTTACAGTGATGGTGGCAATAACACAATGAAGAAGTTCACCTGTTACTACATAGCTTCTAAATCTTTCTAGAGAACAGATTTGTTAAAATAATTTCACAAGTTCAAATGTCTTCCTTATACAATACACATAAACATATTGCAGAATTATAGATCTTTTTAGAACCATTTTAAGATTTAACTAATGTACTAACTTGAACGGTTCTTTCTGCCAGAATGGTTGTAGTATATTATCCAACACCTCTGCTGGTAATGGTTCCTCTGATTCCAGATTATTTTTAATGGCTTCCTCTTCCTCTGTGTATTGTATTTCCTCTTCCTCTTGGTTTTCTTTACTCTCACTATCTGATGCCTGAGTATCAGGAGCTATAGGCTGTCCGTCAGGACCAGTAAGTCCAGCTTCATCTTCATCTGGTTCCCTGTTAAAAAATATTAGGATTATTCTTGAACAATAAGTGTTTTAGTTCTTAATATAAAATTGAAGAGTGTTTGTCAAATAATGAAAAGTTTGTTAGAGTTAACTTTATGTAAGAATCAGAAAGGCACTGTTTTGTTTTTGTAATTGTTGTTTTTCTTAATTGTTAGCCCGATGAATTACAATTATTTAAAATTTTGCACAGGATAAGATAAAATTGCCATTGACATACATAACCCAACATATGCCTCTTTCAAGATTAACAAAATATTAAATTATACAGAATGCAACCCAAGGCTTATTAGGCATTTTTAAAAGTTCCTTGTAGATCGAGTTAATAACAAGATGAAGAGCAAAAACAAAGAAACACTTGTCCAATTTTTTGACTGATTGCAAGTATTCAATGAGAATGTTCTTCTACACGACATTCATTCCATTATCATTTCATATCTTATGTGAAGATGAAACATTTTAGTCTTTTTCGTCATGTTAAATGATTATGTATAATAAAATAACATGACACTCACTCTTCCTCCTCAGGATCTGGTAGATTGTCTTGTTCATATTCTGGGCCTATCCTCTTTCTTGTCTTGTGTATAATCAGTTCCTGTAATCTGTCTCGGAATGAAATATGGAACAGTCCCATCTGTCGTGCCATGTTACGGGCATGCAGTGATTTACCTGCTCCTTTAGGTCCGAGCATTAACAGTCTTAATGGTGGCGGCTAAATAAAAGACAAATAACTAACTTCATCATTGTTCTAGCAATTTAAAACAATTAGATTTTTTTTTCAGATATTTTCTTTCTACTCCTGTCAGTTCATATAAGTAAATAAAAAGATATTACCAGTAACATGCAAAAACTTACAAGCAACTAACAGATTATTTTCTTACCATGCAGATGCAGTTATTCTTAGCTCTTTTTCCCCAAGTAAAATATCTGTATGCCTTACACATTCTTCTTTTTAAAAAAAAAATCAGCCTTTTCAAAATCTATCAGAAATATTCAAGACTTCAATATTTTTTCCTTACATTAATCAATTGTCAAAAAGGAAAAAGTTATTTGTATGAGAAAACTACAATTTGTTGAAAAATTAAGTTGGACACTTAAGTAGTGATAGACTTCAAATATCTTATACTATACCTGTAATGGTTTGTCTTTTGGAAGGAAATCTTCTGGGGTGGCCAAGAATTTGTCTCTAGCTTCATTGGTAGAGAAATAATATGTCTTTTCCCTGTACTTGGAAGCTATCTCTGGGTTACCAGGATACAGCACAAAGTTCTCTTTCAGAGCCACAGGGCAGAACCAGTTTGTGTCACCTAGAGGTTTCTTTTTGCCACGACCTCTATTGGTATCTTCCTCCTGTGAAAATGAAAATATAAAGTTTATTTTCAACCAGATGGTTAATGGATGTAAACATTATTGACTGGAAATTACATGGTTCTAAAAGTTCAAAACAATACTCCTACAATTAACAAAAAAACCAAACCCAAACAAAACATGTTTCAATTAAAGGCAAAAACATTGACTGGTACCCACCTCCTCAGCTTCTTCTTCTCCTTCCTCCTCCTCAGCTGCAGCATCAGCATCATTTTGAAGATCCTCCTCTTCCTCGTCCATATCTGCTCCAGATAACTCCCATGCCTGAGGTTTGAACTGTTCTGTAAACACAAAAATTCATGATAGGTCAAACTAATAGAATATTTTGTCTTTCTGTTTGCCAATTAAAACCTCCCTGTCAGTTTTTACAATTCTCATTTTTGTGTTAATTTATTGGGTATTGATTGACTTTTTGTACCAAACTGATACAAGTTTTAGATTATAACTGTAAAAGAATTTTTAAATAAAAATTGTCATATCAGTTGTAATATTCACTTGAATTTTGGGCTAAAAAATATTTAAATGCACTTTGATTGCTAAATTTTGAATTATGAATTAAAAAAACGATACTTTTAATGAAAAAAATTCGTAAGGGTTCCGCGGAACCCAGTGTCTCGCCTACTTTTTCTGTTAATCGCAGGCTCAACAAAAATGAGGAAGTAAATCAATAAAAATATTCCTCTTGATACTATCTTTTGATTGTAAGAACTTTCTGTCCAAGTTTGGTAAAAATCCAGGATAGTGTATGAATCTAATAAATGTTTAAAAACTTTATCTGCAGACTGAATGTAATGTTAACTTGAAGAAAACAAAATTTCCTTCTAGATACTAGCATTTGATCATAAACAAGCTTCTGTTAAAGTTTGGTGCAAATCCAAAATAGTATAAGAAAGTTATTAAAATTTAAAAAACTTTAACCACAGAGTGAATGTGTTGTTTCCTGACAGGAAATCTAAGTCCATTTAAAAGTAAAATACGGAAAAAATGGATTTATTATTTTACAAAATTTCCTTCTAGATACTAGCTTTTGATCATAAACAAGCTTCTGTCCAAGTTTGGTACAAATCCAAAATAGTATAAGAAAGTTATTAAAATTTTAAAAACTTTAACCACAGAGTGAATGTGTTGTTTCCTGGCAGAAAATCTAAGTCCATTTAAAAGTAAAATACGGAAAAAATGGATTTATTATTTTACAAAATTTCCTTCTGGATACTATCTTATGATCATAAACAAGCTTCTGTCCAAGTTTGGTAGAAACCCAGGATAGTTTAAGAAAGTTATTAAAATTTTAAAAACTTTAACCACAGAGTGAATGTAATATTTCCCGGCAGAAAAACTAAGTCCATTTATAAGTAAAATACGGCAAAAATGGAATTTTATTTTTACAAAATTTACTTCTGGATACTATCTTATGATCATAAACAAGCTTCTGTCCAAGTTTGGTAGAAATCCAAGGTAGTTTAAGAAAGTTATTAAAATTTCAAAAACTTTAACCACAGAGTGAATATTTGTGGACGCCGCCGACGCCGACGACGACGCCGACGGAATGTAGGATCGCTATGTCTCGCTTTTTCGACTAAAGTCGAAGGCTCGTCAAAAATGCATGAAATTTATCTCTATTAATCCAGAAATTTATGTAGAATATTTTAAACCATAAAAGCCAGTGTATACTCATTTCAGTGACAGGACCTGGGAGGTCAGTAAATTCAATTGAATGTTTAACCATTGTAAGATATCTCTATGGTCATCCTCTTGAGGAACCGTTTCACATTGAAACTAGTCTCAGAAAATAAGGTGTCTAATGTATATTTACCAAAGTTAGGCTTTGAAGAACTTACTTTCTATACTTAGTGAGGATTCCTCTTGTATAGCCTCCACTGTTTTCTCCTCAAGATCAATCTGAACTGGGTCAATAGAACTGCCACCAGATACGGTGGCCAGGATGTTCCCTATATCTCTGTCATACTCCTTACGTTTCTCTTTAAAGTCATCTAACTCTGGGCCCTCTGGGACTTTCTGTTTATGATTTTTAAGAAAAAGTCAAAAGTTAATAAAAGAACAGTTAAATTATAGATAAACTATAAATAGAAGGCAAATGCTTCTGAAGATATTTCCATATGTAAAAGATTTGCTTTTAATCAGAAATTATTTTTACACCAAAAAATAATTCATATTACTGTATAAGAAAACTATTTTTTTTCCATTGATTTGAAACATACCAACAAGACATTTTACCTAAATAACCAAACTATAGCAGATGTCTTTAATGGTGAAACATGAGCATGACAAAACATAATGTTAACGGCAAAAATCATTCATGTTTCAACCTCCATTATCTTACATATGGTCAGAGGTACTTAAAATTGTTGGGTATTGAATTCAATATTGTTCAAGTACTACCTAACTTCACTTAAGCAAATTTGGTTCAACACTGGACATTTTTTTAAAACTCTTAACCCTTTCGCCGACAAATCCCAGTTTACCAGGATTCACGCTTCAGACAGCTGATGATGAGTCCCGGCTTACCAGGATCGACATACCTCTTTTATATTTCCCGCTGAAAAACATTTCAAACACAAGTTATCTTTCTTTGTTTATTGCCCGGATGTAAGTGTAAACTTGGCGCTTCCATTCCTTGAAAATGTACAAGTCAACTGAAATTTACGGATTTTACTGGAATTTGAAATAAGGGAAAAATTTTTTGAAAGAATTTGGAAGAATTGAAGCCAGGCTAGTATACTATTTTGACATAAAATGCTGTTTTATGTACAAAAACAGTTTGTATGGACATCGTTTAGTGTAAGGAATTTGTACAACCTCGTAAAAATTTTCAAACTTTTGCCGTTTTGGGTTAAAAATTTACGATTTTGGGTCCAAAAGACGAATTTCATGAATTATATGTATTTCAATGCTGAAAATTAGCAGATTTGATTTTTTTACACAAAATTTATTAAAACATAAACAAAACTGTGTCCATGGTGTAAATGAATAAAATAAAGACATAAATAACTACAGACAAGTTTTTATTGATATTTAATTTTTGTCACAATAGCTAGGGAAGCCATCGTCTCAGAGTAGCTTCTGGCAGCGCGGCTATCGGTGAAAGGGTTAATGAAATTTAAAAAGAAGTAAATTGGTTGAAACATGTTTAGTTTTACGCTGTAATGGTCAAAAATGAAATTGAATGAAAATCACATTTCAGAAAATATATAACAACATGCGTTATAATAAAATATATAGGAATCAAATTATATAAAACATAAATGGCTCAATATATTAGCTTTAATCAGGTGTTCTCTTTATCACCTCTTATCGATATTGTTTTTTATACTTTTGAAATAAATATAACAAAAATAAGGTGATATATTTGATTTCAGTGTATTAAAAGGAATGCGATGAATGATGACTTAGTAATTAATGTGATCTAGAACTGGACACTTTGTTATGTTTTACATGCAGTTAAAAATGGACAACGATTGGAATAACAAATTATGATGTATGAATAGGTGACTTTTCTAGGGTTTATTTTTTAACCAATGATAAAGTTATAACATGGATGTTTCAAGGATCATGTGATAAGACAGATAACATGGATGTTTCAAGGATCATATGATAAGACAGGTATACGAGGTATACAATAGATAACATGTTCTTTGTATGTAATCCAACAAACAGAGGAACGTTTCATGTGAACATAAAAAACAGTATATACCTTTATAATGACTGGTTTAGCTTTCTTTTTCTTCTATAAAATGGGGAAATACAATGTAATTCATATATTTAAAACCTTTGTAGTAAGTTTTCTATTTAAGATTGAATTTATACACCCATAACTGGTATTACAACACCTAAAGAAAGGACTATCTCGGATCTTGGTTAATCATGCAATGTAGTTCTGAACTTTAGAATATCATATAAAATTAAGAATTAAATGTAACTTGCGATTAAAATTTTTTCCTTTTGCTTTATAGTATCCTTTGAAAGAATTCCCATTTCATGGACTTTTGACCTTTCTACATATGAATATTAAGTAACGATTTTAATGACTTATAACCCTGAAATCAGAATGACAAATAAAAAGCACAGATTGTTGTTCCATACTAACCTCCTCTTCCTCTATCCTAACAGATGGTTCTTTAGCTGGTTCTTCTGCTGAAAGGAGCAATGTAATAATAATTATTAACAGAAGCAATCACAGACATATCATATTCTTCATTGAACATCATTTATAGGCCAGTCTTTATGGGTCAAAATAATGAATTCAATAACAAACTTTAATAGAGAAGTTTTTCTTTTTGTTTTAACTTGGTTTTCTAAAGAGAACGCAGGGAGAATTAAGTATTTTTTTTTTTTAGATTTAAAGATGATCAGATAATGAAAAATTCTGTTTAAAAACATATTCTACTCCTGGCAACTCACAATCAAAAGTACAAAAATCCCCTTAACATTGTCAACTTAATATTCACCTTCTGTTGTCTCAGTTTTAGTTTCTTCGGCATCTGTTTTTGTCTCCTCATCTTCTGAAATAAATGAATAAGCTTAAAAAATTACCATTTTCTGCTAGCATTTTCTGTAAACTTCCCTTGCTGTTGTATTTTCGGCGGTAAATAAACAAGAACATAAGAATTTCATAATCAAAAATTCTTATTTGGTCATTGTTATTCAACTTCAGAATTATTCTTTTTTTTTATGAAAATAGCTGATCATACGAAGACCATCAGATTATCAATAAGTTTCTATTCTTTTTTTTTTTTAAATATCTTTTTGAGTGTGTGTTGTGTGTTTTTTTTTTGTTTTTAATCAAATCTGATGGAAGCACCTGAATACTCTCTGGGAGCAGTGTAGTTTTGTTATGATTAGTCTAACAAAGTGATTGTATATGGATTCTGATGAAATAAAACTATGTTGTATGTGAGTGCTAGTGGGTGATTATGTTAGTTTCATTGTCATTTTCATGCAATGTGAAATTCATTGTTAAGTTACAATCCCCTATTTCCCATGCACACCACTGAGTACAAGAAAATGCTAAGCTTGATACAACCTTTCATGGAAACAAAACACAAAAATAGTTTTTTAAACATTGACCAGATATAAAAAGTGTTACTGGGGAAACTGAAATTTCATCCAGCTGACATTTGATTTGATGTTCCTGGATTTCCCTGCCACAATTTTTCATTCAAAATAAAAGTCTCAAGTTTAATTAAAAAGTTTATTAATCTAGTTGATAGCTGTGCCAGTTTTTTTTTTAGCGTCTTATAATTGAAGAGGGCATTGAGAAACATATATCCCCCCTCCTAGGTTTCATGTTAACACAAATAGTTACATATATAAAAGGAGATGGGAAGGTTGTAAATCAGAAGATTAAGTTGAGTAATATTATATATTAGGGTCATATCAACAGACCTTTTGTTTCAGGTTCTGCTTCTTTTTCCTCCTCCTTTTCTTCCCCCTCCTCCTCCGGCTGTGCTGGTGCATCACTTTTACTTGCTAGACAAACATGCATAAAACCACAGTGAGATCAATCATGCATTAAAACAATTAGCCATTAGAAACATAACTAACATGTGCAGAAGTTATCTCCCTTATTGCAATATAAATACTTTTATGAAACCTATTTGAATTGCATATAGGGCTATAATTAAACTGAAAACTGAATTATTTCATTTAATAATACCTTTCCTGAGTACCTTTTTTAGAACAGATAAATTCACCATGCTTAAACATGCATCATATTCATAGAAGTGTTTTGAAATTGCATGCAGTAACATTTTGATTACTATATGGGTTTTGTGAAAAATTTACATTTTTTTGGTTACAAGATAAACAATTTCAAAATAAAATACTACTGATTAAATGATAGCAATCTTAGCTCAGAAAGATGTTGAAAATGGAAATTTCACAGGTAAAAAAGTTAAATAAGAAAGAACCTGTTCAGGGAAATACTCAGATCTGTAAGTTGTTAATTTCTTTATTTAAAACAAAATTAAGTGTACACAAGTCATATATCTAATCTTTTCAGGATATTACTCAGACAACCCCTAAATTTTACTCTATTGAAATAGTTTTTACATGATTCTGAACTCTGCACATCTTAATTATAAATCTGTCATTGTACATGTACCATAGGTGAGTGTTTAGCAGTGAAACATGCACTCAATGTTGATCACATGCCATTTTTAAACCATACACCTGTGCAATTTTCTTTAAACCATGCACCAATATTATTTTTTACACCAAGCAGTCATTTTACAGTGTTTTGCTATTGAAAAACATGGGTTTTGATCATATATATTAATCAAACATTTTAAGTCTATGTTATTATTTAATACAATATTACCAATGATATTTAATAATATTTCATTAGCAACAAAGTATGAAAATGTTATTATATATTCTAAGCATTGGAAGTATATCTTTTATAATAAAAAAAAACATAAGCTTGCAGAACAGATAAAGCAAAATATTCTATAAAGCAGGTTTACTGGAAAAAAGATATTGTGAGACCATGCATACTGTAGAAATAGATCAGCATATTCTTCTGTTTTTTAACTGATTTTTTTTTTACTTCAACTTCTTTATATCACATTAAAGATTTCGATCTTGATCTTGGCATAAGGTTTGACTTTCTTCTCATTGTTAAAGAGCAGCTTGCAGTGACTCTTGAGGCATTGAGCAGCAATTTAACTCCTTTTCACTTGGGGAATATTTTCCTTTGTTTTGTTTTTTAAGTCTTCTCCATTCCATATTTTTATTATATATCAATTTTTGTTTGTGGAATTAACAAAAAATTAGTATGGCAAGTTTGTTTTGACCTATATATGATATCCATCCCATTACATGCATACATAAACACAGACATGAAAACTAAAAAAAAAAGCATTATATAACAGCCTGATGCAGTGCTATATCAATATTGGCATGCTACACTGTATTATCACATGCATTATATTTCAAATGGTAACAGTGATTGGTCAATAGCAACGAATTAATTTAAAGTACCTCCAGTTTTGGCCTAGTAATATTTATCATTTGGATTGGAAATGATGATTTCACATAAATCTAATATGTTATAGTAGACGGCTTTCCTTTTTTTGATCATTATTCCTACTTGATAAATCTTATTCCACTTATTTATTCCTTTTCAAATACTACAACTTTTTATATGATATATTTATCTTCTGAACTTATAAATAATTTATTTACACAAGACTTTCAATACTTTGACTGGTAATGTGCATGTCCATGTTGTCCACAATCTAAATCATGTCTGTACATATATTTAATACAAAAGATATCAAGGACAAATAAATGCAGCGCTATTGTAACCGCTCTACATTTAAGGTATAATTGTGAATAAAAAACATTATATAATTTAATATAAGCATATTGACTGGTTATTGTGCAGTAATGTATGTATAAAGAGTGATTATAAATGAAGCTTAGAATGAACTGCTTACCAATTGATTCATTTTCATCTATTTATAGAAAACATTTTATTATTTACTCAAATTATGTTTTTTAAATCAGACCTTGATAAAACAGGTATTTATAGACATAGGCCACTGAAAACAAACCCTTATTCCAGTTCAAAAGAAAATGCATCAGTACTTCCCCCAACACATCTCAACATTTCTTCTCAGTTGTGAAGTCATCAACCATACACCAACTTATCCACCTTTGCTCCTTTTTCTTAAAACCCTAAAATTTGCTGGCTTTTATACCCTGACCCAAGTTTACTTAAATATTTTTTGAATGAAAAAAAAAGAAGAAAAAACAAATAGATATAATTTTCACAATGAAAAGTTAGTAAGAAAAAACTTCTCAAATCAGGTGACTCTTATATTTCTCCCTTACCATCCTCTTCCTCTCCACCACCTTCTTGTTCCTCCTCTCCTTCTTCTAATTTCCTCAATCTTTCTTCTTCTGCAGCTTTCTTTGCTGCTTCTTCTTCTGCCCTCTTTTCCTCTTCCAATTTTCTCCTGTAATGAGTATTATATTTATGCCTATGTATGGAAAATTTCTACAAGTTTGATTTCAGATGTCATATGATTTTTGACCCAATCAAATAAAATCTGCAAATGATATATTGTACAAAAATAAGTTCGATCATATCATAAATGGGTTGAACTTTATTCCAATTAAATTCATTCTTCTTTTAAGTTTCATATCAGAAAATGGATTGACAGAAACAAGTTGCTATTACATTTTTTATGTAAATCACATTTTCTTAAACATTAAACAAAATGGTGTTTTACCATGTTTACAGTTTTGATGGAAATATATGAATACATGTATTTTTGGCAGTCAAATGTTTGAATTGTACATGTATTACTAATTTACTACAAGAATATCTTATATGTAATGTCTAAGGACAATAATGTAGTTTAATTACCTTTTTTCTTCCTCCTCTTGCTTCTTCTTTTTCTCCTCAGCATCCTTCCTAAGTTTAATCTTTCCATCAATCTCCTCCTTGTTGATTAAGTAGTACCTCTTGAGTAGGAATTCCCCATTATCACTATCTTTGAGACATACAACATCATCAGGAAGCACATTTTTCTCTATAGCCATACTCCACTGGTCCCTGGTTCGTGGAAAGTTATCAAGGATCCAGCCTCCATTCCTGAATAAATTAAAAAAGTGTTCCTAGTGTTTTTGCAATTACTTGAAGTATAAACAACAGGGATTTATAGCTGAATATACGGTATGAGTTTTGCTCAGTGTTGAAGGCTGTATAGTTGTTTACATCCTAATCATTTGGACTCTCGATGGATGGTTGTCTTATACCACATATTCTTATTTCTATATCACAAACAAACAAGAACTGGAATATAAACAAAGTATATACTTACAGTGGTCCTTCAGCATTTTGGTCTCTTTGTTCTTTTTCTACATCTTTGATGGCTTTGTCCAGAATGTCTACATACACTTCAGGAGTCAATGTCACTGGCTGCTTTTCTGCCTCTTTTATAGCCTCTTCTACCATAGCCATAACCTCGGGATGATTGCCATCAACCTCAGGCACCTTTGGAGCCTCTGGTTTTCCTGGTGGTCCAGATTCTGATGTTTTCTCATCAGACGATTTTCCTTCGCTACCTTCTGGTTTCTGGTCCTCTTCTGTTTCTGCTGGCTGATCATCTGTGACAACACCTGAAGGAACAGAGTAAATACAAATATTTCAGAATAATAAGTTATTTATGAAAAAACAAAACATTTCACTTATCAAATTGATTAAAGATATATGAAAATGTATTTTAAGATTTAAATAACCGAGTTTAATGTCATTTCTAAATTGAATCTATATTTACATTCTATGAATTGTAATATAAACTTCACAGTTAGATATTTTGACCACTAAAATAATGAATGTTTCAAAAATTAAATCTTTGGAAGACTGTCAAAAATTTCAAACACACAAAATTAAATTAACATGCTGAAAAAGTCTTTTAGATTTAAATAAAAATTAATGTTTTAATAATTTCAACATTAAGTTATAAAATTCTTAAAAAATAAATCAATTCTGCATAAATAAATTTGCTGAAATATCAATATATACATGTATAACAATTAACTAGAAGTCAGAAAAGATTTAAATAGCATATAGTATTTAAAAAAATAAACTAAAAATATAACTTGAACTGTATATATATATGGTATATTTGTCTATAACAAATATTACATTGGCATTAAGGCAAAACAGCCACTACATGATTACACTGAAATGTAAATCTGCACTTTAAATTACACTTTTATTATTAAGTTGTCATGAGCATATTGCAGTTATTCATCAGATAAAATATTTAAGAAAATAAGCAGTCAAACAAAAACTCTAATAGCATTTCTCTAAAAATCTGGTCTCAATATGGACCTGGCTAAAACTGTAATATAAGCCTATGACATAGTACTTATAAATGTGGGTACTTTAATCATAAGTCATACTAGTCAGAGTACATATACTATTTAATGAAAAAAACGATAATCTAACCAAAAATCTTGCAACTGATCAATTATATCTTTTTTTTAATGGTTTTAAAAAATCAGGTGTTGTTTAGGTAAATCTAAAGTAAAGTCATCTGAAGTATGCCTTGTAGGAAAATAAATTTCAATACTTAACAAATGTTTAAATGGTGAGGTTAAAGTTGTAAAAGACCAGAGCAGTAGCAAGAAAATTAGTTAACACTTGCATGAGTTTGGTGGTAAAATCTTTCTTGCATTATGTTATATATACATCGAATCATGATACAAAACTATTCTTGGTGTTTTATATGAATCTATTAAAGATTGAAAAAAGCTTAAGTACCACTAAAGGGTACACTAACATAGATATGCATAAAGAATAAAAAAAAGTTAGATATCTAAAAATGTTTGATAGATTGAGAACTATACTAAAACTGAGTAAAAGCATAACAAAAGAAGTGTTGTCCTAACAATGATTTACCAAGAAAATGACTTGTTGACTAGCTGTACATGTATAATGTATCTATTATAAAGTAATAAGAGCAAATGACAGACTGTAGCATGTATTAAATATAAATCAAATTAAAATCAAACTGAAGCCATCATAAATGCTGTTCAACAGGTTCAATCATTTCTGTTAAAATATTACCTTGCAAAAATATAACCAAAGACAACTGTATGTAACATGTAGTTGGAGGTGACAATAATTTGGCATGAATACAGAACATTGTTTCTTTTCCTGATTAACACACTGACAATTTATCAATTCTTTTGGTTTGGTACTTTCTTAGAATAAGTACTTACGACTTGGCAAGGGATATTCATTCATATATTGTTCAGGTGACCCAATGTTTGAAGGAACTTTCCTTACTATAAAATCATGTGAACTGACACAATTCCTTTCCTCTACAACTCATAGTTGCTATAATCTGGACGAGAGAATAAAACTGAACCAGTCTTTTGTACTTTAAATGTAGCACAGTGGGGTAACTTTACAAGATATGAGCATTGAAAAATATCATTCATTTATAACTAGCAATCATATTTCACGAAAAACTTCACCACGATGTGTGCGACAGAAAAACTATATGAATTGCAGTTGGTTAAATCTTGATGTAAACACATACACGACTAGAATAATTCATAGTAATATGTTTTCCATGAACTTCTAAAACTGTCCATAATGTGCACACTGACAAACAGTTGTCTCAAATAGACTATGACTTGCTGTCTTGCTTAAATCTGGATCTTAATGAAAAACTTTAACATGTCAAAACAGGGGTACCACCCAAATTATGAAACATACTAATGATATCAGGCAAGAGGATAAAAAGCTAATAATTGACTAGGAAGCTATCATGTATTTAGTATAAAGTAAAACGAGCTAATGATTGACTAGGAAGCTATCATGTATGTAGTATAATGTAAAACGAGCTGATGAATAACTAAATATTCTGCTATCATGTATGTAGTATAATGTAAAATGAGCTGATGATTAACTAAATATTCTGCTATCATGTATGGAGTATAAAGTAAAACGAGCTGATGTTAGTAAAGACAGCTAGCTAGCTTGCATCTTCACCTTCCCCTTCAGATTTTTCACTATCGCCTTCTTGCTTTTCACTTTCCCCTTCTGGTTTTTCAGCATCATCAGATTCTTTCTTTTCGTCACTTTTACTGACTGTAACAGTCTCCCCTTCTGTTGTAGTTCCATCTGTGATTTAAAGGATCAAATTCTTCTTATTTCTCTAATCTTATTATGTTACAGTATTTCCTCAGTGAAATGGATTCATGATTGGTAACAACATTATTAGTCTTTTAGGATAATATTTACCAAAGAAATCTTTGACTGACCATTAAGTAAAATACATTATATGATACCCGAACCAAAAATGCATTTCATGAATGCATAGAAAACATTGGAATTTCATGAAAAAGATTTATTACTTAGCAACCAACCAAATATTAAATAGAAATTTTGAAATGTAAAAATTTTCCAATTTTGGGCATATTAGTTTACTAAAGGTTAACAGATAAATAATGTGGGCATATGAGAGAAAATGTAAAATTTTATCAACCATAAATCCCTGGACATATACAAGATCAAATGTATCATTGACACATTATGAAAACTCTCAAGAAAATTTGGTCAGGCAAAAAAATTGAGGTTTACGCCGCAACAATAAAAGGAATATAAACACTTAGTTTTGACAGCCTACTATAGTCCAAGGACAATCTGTAATTTTGCAGATTTCTTCAGTATATATTACAACTATATGGACCATTTATCATCCTTAAAAGAATTTGGATTTTCAAATAAACGCTAGTTTTTGGACCAGTCATGTGTAAGAATATATAATTTATCTTGTTGTGGTGGTTGGTCAGATCACATATAATATAAATAAACCTAAATGTGTTTGCTTTAGAAAAAAATTATCAATCATCTCTTTTACAACAAATCAATTCAAAATTTTATTTTTTTATGGATATTAATTTTGTTACTGTTACATAGCAATTGGCATCAAATAAAATTTCGTTCACAATAATCTTCGATTTTATAGTCAATATCATGGTTATAATTTCTTTACTTGATTTATGTTATTTGTTTACATGGATATAGTATGTGTATGTGTTCCAATAAATGTATCAATCTTGATATTTATAATATCAACAATGTCTAAAAACATAAATGGTATAAAAACAATATATATTGGGAAAAAACAGATAAAAGTGGAATGCAGGTGCAAATAAATATATCATAAGAAAGTGAAGAAAAATAGTGCTGTAGAAAAGTAGATGCTGACATTAACATAAACAAAAGGGTATAAAAGCATGATGTGTCTTTTGATATCAGTCTGAATGGGTCTCACTTTTTGTATGTAAAATAATACCATTGGATTAGTTCCATACATTCAGTGTACTGTGGCATTTCTTTAGCTTTATGGAATTTCAGTTCAGAAATTCTCTCCGACTATATATAACTGCCTTCTTTTACTTCTGGATTATATTACCCTTTGGATTTTATTTTGACCATAAATTTACTTTACAAATTTACTTAAAATGAAAATTTTATTTTTTATCATTTTTTATTCCTGATGCTGGCAAAAAAACACATTGTTATAATTTTTAAACACCCTAGCTTATTCTGAAACACCATAAAATAAAGAGTTTTAACATTAAGCCATAGTTTGACCTCTATATTATCAATATTTGTGGTGTAGTAATGATAATAAACTGTGTAATGGTTGGTGCAGTTGTAAGCCACAGGAGTTGATTATACAAGCAAGTGGACATATATCAAGCAAAGGGAGATAATTTGTAAGCAGGGGAGGCAATAAACTTCTTACCATCATCAGAATCTTTTTTCTCGTCATCTTCTAAATATAGCAACACAAAAAGTCATAATTCATACCAAGCTTATATAATAGGATAAAATAAACTGAATATCTTAAGTTAATTATCACAATGAAAGTACCAAGATTTCAAAGTAAATAGAGTTGAAAGTTTAGTTTAATAGTCAGCATTATAAAATAAATAAAAATTAACCAGAAAGTATTCACTATTCTACTCCAGCCCTAATGAAAAAAAATGAATGTTTTACTTGAAAAAGATGAAAATCAAAAGATTGTTAGTTGATGTATGAACTATTACCATTTCTTACACACATTGTGAAATTTCAAAATATTGGTTTTTAGGTATTTGGTTTAATGGAGTAAATTTCTCATTTAATATATAACAAAAATATCAAACAAGGGTGTGTGTTATGAAGAGATTACAATTCTAAATATTATACAAGATGTTAAGGTGATAAAATTTTAAATCATGCATATTTGTTTCAGACATGTGAAAGTTATATGGTAAGCTTATGTAATATGTATATAGATGAATATTATACTGGCATGCATTCAAATCAGGCAACTTTTCTACATGAGAATGTAACTTTTTAACTTTTTTTTTTTTTTTTATTATTTTTTTTTTCTTCAAGATAAAAGATTTATTGATAACGCTCTGCAGCCGGTTGTACGAACGTGGCATTAGCCTAATGGGTCATTAAGTCTTCATAAGTGTGTAACATGAGGTCAAAGTATAATACATAAACAATTAAATGACGAAATGAGCATGCAGTACTATTTGAACACTTAGAAATACATTTGCAAATATTAACAAAACAAACTTGACAGGATGTACTATTCCACATTAAATACATCTATTTTGCTGCTTATTCAATTTCTACAGGTTAAATGTTTTAAAATGTCATTTCTTTTAAAACAAAAAGCAATCTCTTATCTTTTTTTCTGGGTTCTTAGTGCTGTTTCAGAAATAAATCAACTGGAGAGGGGTGAAAAGCACTTTTGATTTCACTCCACCAAGCATAAAATTTAAATTGATTATTTCCTATAATTGTCCAGGCTATTTTTCTAAAACAGTCCACACCCAAGAAATTTTAAAAGATTCATGCCTTCCTCCCTTCCGTAACCACATACAAAATACAATGATTCTGTAACAATCGTTATGTGAACCAACCATGCACAATGATAAAAAATGTATGATATTATAGATTTCTGTGTGTAAATCATGTTAAATTATAGACAAAAAGTGTGGGAAGTCAAATACATAAAACCATTTTAAGTCATCTAAGCCAACATGAGGTTTATTACAATAAACCAGATATCTTCTGTGGTTAAGTTAACGTTGCATGGGGAGTAGAAACTTCATTTTAATACAATTATATAATGAATACATTGAAAATTCACAATCAAAAATTCCTAAGGGTTCCGCGGAACCCCGAGTCTCGCCTACTTTTGCTGTTAGTCACAGGCTCAACAAAAATGGGGAAAAAAAGTATTAAAAATTTTCCTCTAGATAGTATCTTTTGATTGTAAGAAGCTTCTGTCCAAGTTTGGTAAAAATCCAGGATGGTTTATGAATCTAATAAATGTTTTAAAAACTTTAACTGCAGACTGTATGTAATGTTAACTGGAAGAAAAACTAAGTCCATTTATAAGTAATATTCGGAAAAACAGGAAATAAATTTTTACAAAATTTCCTTCTAGATACTAGCTTTTGATCATAAACAAGCTTCTGTCCAAGTTTGGTACAAATCCAGGATATTTTAAGAAAGTTATTAAAGTTTTAAAAAATTTAACCACAGAGTGAATGTAATGTTAACTGGCAGAAAAACTAAGTCCATTTATAAGTAAAATACGGATAAACAGGATTTTTTTTTACAAAATTTACTTCTAGATACTATCTTAAGATCATAAACAAGCTTCTGTCCAAGTTTAGTAGAAATCCAGGATAGTTTAAGAAAGATATTAAAATTTAAAAAACTTTACCCACAGAGTGAATGTAATGTTAACTGGCAGAAAAACTAAGTCCATTTATAAGTAAAATACGGATAAACAGGATTTTTTTTTACAAAATTTACTTCTAGATACTATCTTAAGATCATAAACAAGCTTCTGTCCAAGTTTAGTAGAAATCCAGGATAGTTTAAGAAAGTTATTAAAATTTCAAAAACTTTAACCACAGAGTGAATATTTGTGGATGCCGCCGCTGCCGAAGACGACGAAGAAATGTAGGATCGCTATGTCTCGCTTTTGCATCAAAAGTCGCAGGCTTGACAAAAAGTACCATTAGAATCATTCATGTATAGGGCATTAGAACCTCTGAACTTGTATGCCAAATTTAAAATGATAGGTAAAAAGTAACAAACTTTACAGGAAAATTATGCATGGAACATATTTCTAAGTAAAAGTGTATTTTATATATAATATATAGAAAAAATAAATAAATTGGATACATTCTAAATGTTATATCTAACTGGTTGTTTGCCTGCAGAATGTAAGACTAGTATAATTACAGTTTATATTTTTGTGATCTTTACATTTCAGATAAAAGATTTCATTTTAATCAAAAAATATGTATAATGATAGCTCTGATTTTTAAAGCTGAAATATCAGATATATACACATATCTCTTATTCATTTTAAAAATATAAACCTCATTTAGCACACCTACAGGGGTCTGTGGATTGATGTGAAGACTGTTCTCAATAATTTGAATATCTGGGTTAAATAACCAATATAAATGTTAGAAATAAGGTAGTGAAATTTGTTAAGTGATAAGGTTGTAAATTTTAGTAAGAATTTTTACTGACTATTAGGAATTTTGGTAATAAAACACGATATTATACTAAAGGAGAGTGATAACTAATCTATAGTGCTACAATGCTAAATAGTTGCTATTGAAACATGCAAGTGGTAGTCATGGATACCTTCTGGTATATCTTGTTCTTCCTCCTCTGCTTGTTCTTCTAACATAGCTAATTCTGTACACAAAATTACACAATTAACACATATACACACAAGTTAATCTACACAGTACACATTACAGTTATGACTACAAAGAGTGTTACACGATTGGGCTTTTGAACACACAAAGTCTCAGCCCATACAGGACTATTGCAATTCTACGTTACCTTCAGGTGCAGTCAGGATATTCATATTAAGAGATACCCCTTTTAACATTGATTCTGATAAAAGTCTTAAACTAATTATTATTTCAGAAGTGTTTAAAAATTAGATGATTTTCAACAAAAACGTAATTATACACAGACCTTAGGTATATCATGATGACAACAGCTGTAAAATTCAGTAGTCCATATGTAAAGAATTCAAATGTCAAATACCTAAACTAATCTTTATGGTCATCCATGTCCTAATTCTAAGAAATGAAAAAAGTTCTCTACACAAAACTAACAATCAAAAAAATTTTAAAAAAACAGAAAAAAATAACTAGAAAATTAAAAGAATGAAGTTGACCAGCAAAATCCATCTGTATGTCATTTACTCAAAATATAATCATTCAATAACAAAACTTCTTTATGCTTTCTTCTCTTCAAACACTGACAACTAGAATTTTACAAATGACAGACGATTTTTGCTGTTAACTAAGGACTAAAATAGAAAACCAAGAGTCAGCTAACTCCTGACCTAATATGACAGTGTCCATCAACTGTCTTTCTGCTTTAGCTTTCTCTTCTGCTGCTGCTATGGCTATTACTAGTCAAAAAGAACAGCAAAGGTCAATATAATTGGAGAAAAATTATTACCCACAGACCAAAATGTTTATCATCCAACACAAATCCTTGTTGCAAATCTTTACAAAAATAAAATTCCCAACTACTATCCCAGAATAAAGTTTAATATATATACCATGCTCCAAGGTAAATACAATAAGGAGTAAAACTACCTACCAACAACCTTAGGCTTAGTCTTAAGTTTGTCTTGTACAGGACCTTCTATTCAAAATCACAATAATTAAAGAGAACAATCAGGCTGCTTTCTTTACCTTAAGGCGAAACTATTCGACTATTACAAACAAACAAAACATTTCAATGCTTTAACCAAGACATGTATTTTTCCAGTTAAACATTTTTATAGATTCATGCAAGACACAGGACATTACAATTGGTACACTTAAAACTTTTCTACACCAAATTAGGACAAAATATATCTCATCATACAATAGTGTTAAACACAATTCGATTGGTTGATGTGTCAAGTTTTCTAATTGGCTTACCTTCAGCTTCTCTAGCAGCTTGTTCAGCCTCCATTTGTTCTTTCATTTTCATTTTTACAGTGGTTATAGCAGTTTCTGTTGTATCCTCTTTAGTTTTCTCCAGAAATCTCTTCTTTTCTTCATCTAAATGAGGCTGTATTATGACATCCATATCTAAAACCTGTTACAGAAACAGTGTTCCACTATAACGATTAAAATACATTTTTGGCAAAAAAATTTACTTGATAACTTCGGAAACTTTGAGATATATAATCCAAGATTACCGGGTACATCAATATAAAATGTTAAATTTTTCAAAATTAATTTATAATGTCAAACTAGAAGGTGAAATTTTGTAATTTGTAACAAGTGGTTTATTTATATTACTAGCTTGAATATATAGAACAGCAAAAAAATAATCAAAACATCTGAAGAAGAAAAAAAAATATATGCCATAAATAAAACAAACCTTTGCCCCATATTTTGTGGCAAGCAGATGACATAATGTTGTTTTTCCTGACAGAGGTGGTCCAATGACAGAAAGTTTACATGGTGGTCGTGGTTGGGGTGGTAATAGGTACGGCCGTGGATTCTTCATGAACTTGGATATGGCATCAATACTTGACAAACAGTAAATCTTATCTAGGAAACTGTAAATACACAAAATTACAATTTATTCAAATCAGCTAAGTAACTTTTAACATATCTCCAAAAATACCTTTTTGACCATAGACCACAATTAACTTCCCCTATTTGTTCCTAATAACGTTATGTCACATTAAAAAAAAAAAAAAACACCAGTGGTTTCTGGCACAGTTTACAAATTAAGCCAGTACATATCCCTACTGGTATGGACAAGTCAAGAGATATTCTGAAGAACTGTACATATTACCTTTTTGCACCTGGCCTAATCACTCCTTCCATCCACTGAACAATTAAAATAAAACATCCAAAAATTTATTTCAACTCTCTTTTTTTTTCACTTCGGCCCATAAACACTAAGAAATTATTGAGAAAAGAAAAGGAAAAAATACACAATATTTAAAGGCAATTTTATTCTTTTACAACAAATAAAGGGGTCATTAATTGTGGTCTGCACCTTATATTCAAAATAAGCAATATGATATACATATACTTTAAATTCTATAGTCAGGCTGACAGAGATATCTAGATATTGAACTATACCTGACACAAAACTCTGGTTTTCCAGGTATAATATTTCCATCATGTAAGGCAACTGGACAATTTTTCATCCATCTGCTGCGACGCCACCTAAATCGAGGAGCAACCATTCTCTTTGGACCAAGAAGTCTCATTAATTCATCAGCTTCAATGTCCTCTGGGACATCTTCCTCATCTGGGTCAATCAGTCTCATTGGCACTGCAGCTGGTCTCAGGACAAAACAATTCAACCGTGTCATTAATTGCTGAAAAATTAAAGTGAATAATTATTATTCAAAGCACTAACATGCTTTTTTTTATATCAGGATTACTTTTATATGATTACCAACTGCATAAGAAGTATATCCTTTGTGATTTTCCTTAAAGAACTTTTCGTCATGTTGGATAAGTAGGTTTATTTTGCATAAAAAAGTTACCTATTCATGGTTTTTCATTTACAATTTCATATTTTATACATTATGAATAAGTTGAGGATAGAAATAAGCATTTCAAAGTACTTTTCTTTGTGCATTACAATTTTCTTGTGCTGATTGTTTCCAAACATTGCATATAACAAATTAGTGAAATGAATCTGTTTCATAGGGTCTTAAGAATTCCTGATAAAAGTAAGTATTCAATGAAAACAAGTGCTTTGTAAATGAGAAATTTTCTACTAAAAGTCACTTATTTCCAACATACTTTAAACAGAACTGTCTGTGACTGATTCCCATCCATCTCAATCAAAAACTGCTGGTCATGGTCTGCCATGTAATCCTAAAACAAATAACACATGGTACTGAGAGTGAATCAATACAGTAACACCTTCTGTGTGAAAATATGTAATCCTAAAACAGATAACACATGGTACTGGGAGTGAGTCAAACATACAGTAACACCTTCTGTGTGAAAATATGTAATCCTAAAACAGATAACACATGGTACTGACAGTGAGTCAAACATACAGTAACACCTTCTGTGTGTAAATATGTAATCCTAAAATAGATAACACATGGTACTGAGAGTGATTCAAACATACAGTACACCTTCTGTGTGTAAATATGTAATCCTAAAACAGATAACACATGGTACTGAGAGTGAGTCAAACATACAGTAATACCATCTGCGTGTAAATAACCTAATTTTGTTTACCTTTTTTTATAATCATAATTGATATAAGTACTCTTATTTTTCTTATTTTAAATATTACTTAAAAACCTATGCACCAGATATTCTCTTTTGTTTAGCCAATTATTAAAAATACTGGAGTTCTGCAAATATACATGTACATACTAATGAAATTAGCAGAGAATATCGAATTTTGGGTTCTCAATGCTTTTCAACTTTGAAATTAATTTGGCTTTTTAACTTTTTGGATTTAAGCGTCACTGTTTTTTGTAGATGAAACGCACATCCGGCATACAAAGTTTTAAGCCTGGTATCTATGATGAGTTTATCTGCGACCCTCTTTACAAATATGATATATAATACAAAATGTAATTTTTAATTATTGACTTACCTCTAGTAATCTCAGCATGTTAGTTTTATATTTGCGTATATTATCCCCCACTTTATTTGGAAGATCTTCTGGTCTTCGTACAAGCCTCTCTAATGTTTCTGGGGGCAATTCTTCAACCATCTCTTCTTCCTAGCATTTAGAATAAAAATTTCAATGTCTTATGCTGTTTAAAGATTTTAATCTAAATTAAAAAAAAAACCAAACAAACAAGCAAACAAACAAAAAAAGCTTTAGCATTTGAGAAATGTATGCCTCTATCATTATCTTATTTATCTCCCTTTTTCTATTCTGGTTCCTGTAATATGTTTATTTTACTACTTACCTCTAAACCAGCCTCCTCCTCTTCTTCTGCCTCTTCCTCTTCTTCTCCTTCTTCTTCCTCTGTGGCAGGCTGTTAATTAAGAGGTGTTTTCATTACAAAATTTCAATGCAATAGTTTTTGTTTTGACTAGCCATCACTTACAATAGTACTGATAAAAATTTCAATACAAAACTACTGAACTAGAAGAGGGGATAACCATTGGTGAAGTAATATAATTCTGTGCATTAGTGCTATTAAAAAAATATACTTAAGGGGATCATTATTTTAACAATAATATAAGTACAAGGGGGAAACATGAGAATGTGGAATCCTTGGGTAAATTGTATTAGGAACTACATTATCAAAAACAGATTTATTTTTCATGAACTTTATACAACAGTGAAACACCCATTTGAGCCATTACATAACAATTTATCCATCAGATGAGTTATGACATGTAATTAATTTTTTCTGAACTCTTACATCTGTAAATTAAGCAAAGTTTGTAATCTTTTCTTATAATTGAACAATTTATCATCAATGTTGGAATCCTGAAGTCACAATGTTAATCTTGAGTGTAAAATCTGGTAGTATTTTCTATTTATCAATAGTAGATAAATCATGTGGTTCTTTATTAAGTTTGTTTCATCCAATGAAATAGTAGTGAGGTTTTTGAAAAAAGGAAACAAAGGCCACCCATCGATATTTATCCATGTACTTTTAAAGTCTTTCATATTGTCCATTATACTTAAAATTTCACACATTATCTAAAAAGTGTCCACTTTAAAAGTATAATTACCTGTTTAGCTGGTTTTTCAGGTGCATACACTTCCTTGATATATGTTATACCTGTTAACGGGTCAACCTTCTGACCAGTTCTTCTCACTTCTAAATCTTTATCTGGTATCTGTGAAAATAAAGTTTGTATCACATAATATAAACCTGAATAAAATGAATTCTAACTGTGTAGTATAGACATATGTATGATTATAACATTACTTCCAAGACATGAAGTGAAGTTAAACAAAATCAGACGGAGTTTAAAATCAAAAGAAGATGAATAAAAGGAGACAATCCAAGGACAAAAAAGACATCTATACATGCTAGAGGGCAACATACATGTCTATACAATATGTCTAACTTTGGGTCAAGTCTTAAGAAATTGTGAACAGATACACAGAAACAATACTTTTCAAATGGTTCATACTCACTTTAATATTAATAATAAAATCTGGTTTGAGTTTCCAGTTCTTTATAAGTTCTAGCTGATCCTTTATACTCATATTATCTTCTGACAGAGATGGAAAATCATCTAAAACATAACCTGAAAAACAAAATTAGATGATTAATATTATGTCTTTCTCTTTCATTTTAGTAAGAAACACTTATCACTGGTGGAGTTCTCTGTTTATCATTATAAGACCAGCCTAACTATGTACTATGTATTAATTATTTCTAGCAAATGGTTTGATTAATCCTGTATTTTTTCATGTATTTTTGAACACTATAGTCTTTTACTATCCTGTGGAATAAAAAAGAGACTTAAAAATATCCAATTAAAATTATTAAAATCTGTTGTTATACTGAAAATATAAATGATTGAAAACACGTTCAACTATCAAGAAAAATCTGTTAATTTGTTGAGGTGATTACTCCCTTTTTTTACCTTTCCATCTGTGAGTACCATATATTTTGTATAGGAACCAGTTCTTACCGTGATGTGCTACTTCAGGGGAGTTAACTTTTTCTTCTATCATTTTAATCACCATATCCTCTGATACTGCTTCACCACGGTTTAATATTTCTGCACACTTTTTACCAGACTCTGTTTCCATTTCAATTGCTCTTAGTATTATATCAGTTGCTGAAAAATTTCAACAGTTTAATCAAATATATTTTTGTTAATTAAAATGCTGCTATTCAAAATTTCCAATTTGCGATTTTTTATTTCGTACTTTTGACCCAAGTTGTAAGACCTATTATTTTTAAAACAAAGTTGTTTTACAGAACTGTCCATTTATCCATTTTATAAATTTTAAGACATTGTATGGCAAACATTAGAATATTAATTGATTTCTCTTTATCCATCAACCCTGAAAATTCTGACCCAACCAACAAATTATAAAACCATACATTTTCACTCTTCAAGAAGGTTTAGTATTATTACTGATTCCTAATCAAATAATATCAAAATATGAACCAAGTCTAACAAATTGTTAATTACTTACAAACAGCAACTTTGAGATAACATCTCCTTTCATAAAACTAGAGTTAATCATAAAACCTTTTCACAAATGCATAACAAAAATCAGATGATATATTTGAAGCAATTTCAAGTATTCACTTTTTCATTGATTTGCAAACCCTCACAACACTGATAATATAAAACATACTGGACAAATTCACATGACCTAACACTGATAATATAAAACATACTGGACAAATTCACATGACATAACACTGATAATATAAAACATACTGGACAAATTCACATGACACAACACTTATAATATAAAACATACTGGACAAATTGACATGACACAACACTGATAATATAAAACATACTGGACAAATTGACATGACACAACACTGATAATATAAAACATACCAGACAAATTGATATGACACACCACTGATAATATAAAACATAATGGACAAATTCACATGACATAACACTGATAATATAAAACATACTGGACAAATTGGTATGACACAACACTGATAATATAAAACATACTGGACAAATTCACATGACACAACACTTATAATATAAAACATACTGGACAAATTGACATGACACAACACTGATAATATAAAACATACTGGACAAATTGACATGACACAACACTGATAATATAAAACATACTGGACAAATTGACATGAAATGATTGTCACATAGCTTACGATTAATAAGTTCACATTTCCACTCTGCTGCTAAACGTCTTACAAGGCTGGTCTTCCCAGCTCCTGGTTTACCAATCACAATAAAACATGTTGGCTTGGAATGTAGAAACCTTAATGCAGTCTACAATGTAAGGCATATCTTTTATTCATTTGTTTTTAGTATTACAGCTATTATATAATGTCTTTTCATTTATGATATATGAAACCCAATTACATGTATCAGTAATATAAATGTGCAATCCTTAACAAGTTCATGCTGAAGAAACAGTCACATCTAATGGGTTAAACTTCGGGTGGAATTATGCAGCAAAGTGCTAAAATGGTTTGTGATTTTTTTTTAAAAGCATATACTTTACTTTAAATTAAACGTGCTAACAAAAGAATTGTTGATTGGTCTATGGCTGTTTAATATGTGTGGCAAACGTGAATGTTAATGAGATGTGAATATGGCTTTGAAAAAAAATCAACAAATTGAGTAATATTTGTTTTGTTCTAGCTTTTAACCTTTGCTCTTACTCATAAATGAGGCATGTTTGGAGGAGAAGCAGTTAATACCAATCATAAAGTATATGGTTTGTCCCAGCCTAGGATCAAACTTAAGACCTCCTTCACCAAAGGTGATTATGCTACACCAATTTCACTGAGGCAGCTGTTCACGCTATATTATTTAAAACTTAAACATCTTAAGGGACATTTAAAACAATATCAATCTCCAAGAATTATTCATTCATGTAATTTATCTGTAAAAGTTTTTTGCAATGATTTATCTACAATAATTAACACAAAGTGACTCAGTGGAGCTTCAATGAAATATCAATAAAGTAATTTTTATTCTTAATTCACATTAGTATCAAGACCTAAATATTTTTTGCCTGTAGTAAATCAATTTATTATTACTATGTTGTGATTGACTACTTTATTCTCACCTCATTTTCATTATAAGGATCCATCTCCAGCTCAGTATTTTTGATAAGATCCTCTGGAAGCTCAAATGGTGTCTTGCTTCCAGGTTCTGACACACTTACTGCCCGTAACATCATAGGTTGTTCACCCTGGCCTTCTTCTGTGGCCTAAAACAACAAATAATTGTGTATTATACTTAAAATTCATAGAAAAATATGTATACAAGTGAATAGTCTGCATGTGACACTTAATTGAGTTAACATCCATAATAAAATTAGGTATGATTACTGTTAATATAGCGTAAACTTGGTGTTATTGTTATGTGTTTGAAAATCCTGATTGTTGTTTTAACTAGCTTTTGTGTAAATTCTGCATGTAGTTAGCATGTATTTAGCTTGGTATGAAGATTCAGAATGTTATTGTTGTTGAGTTTAATAGCAGTTTGGTATCTTAACATTAAAAAAATATTCAACACAAAAAAACTTTTTAGAAAGTCACTTTATTCACTGTTATTTTGAAACAATAAAAAAAAATTATAGCAATACACTGACCAAAACACGATTAAAAAAATATTCAACCCAAAACTTCACTTTATTTTGAAACAATGAAAAGCAAAATATTTATAGCAATACAATAACCAAAACACGACTAAAAAAGTATTCAACACAAAAATCGTTTTTAGAAAGTCACTTCAATTTAACTTTGAAACAATGAACAAAAAAAAATATTTATAGCAATACACTACCCAAAAAACGATTGAAAATTATTTATCACAAAAACCAATAAAAAGGGTGCAAATGTGTAGGGTTCGAACGGACCCGGGGTGCGAACGTGAAAGGGGCAAACATGTTTTGGGGCGAACGGACCCGGATTCGATAGCTGGCAGGTCTGCATTGAGACAATAGTAATGTTGGAAGATTTTACCACAATTTCCATCAGGAAAAAGTGTTACATGATTTTCCAGATAAAAATTCATCATTTATAATAAATAATTTAAGATCAGAATACTACATTTTTGTACCTAAAAAATTGTCAACATTAAATAAACATATATTAATATAAATCCAAACTGTGAATGTGGTCAAGTGGAAACTATCGATAATTTACTACAGTGTGACCCTTTTGAAGAATCATGGCAAAAACTAATACAAGAGTTTTGTTTTTTTTTCCATACAGGATCTGTACACCGTCCCATTTCAAAGACAATACTTCAAAGTTTCTGGGAGATTTTATCTGTGATTCGCTTCATTTTAAATAATTATATTAAAAACTGCCACCTTAGGCACCTATAAGTACATATGTAAGTGAATTACACAAGATGATTTAAAGAAAATGAGCGACCATCCAGTGTCAAATGCTTCACCTACAGATAAAAGATACTTCCAAGGGGTTGACTTGAGTTTGTGAGAAATTTTTCGCGGTTAAACAGGAATCTAGCAAGATCTCTTGGCACAGAATATATTACATACAGTGAGTATATGCATACCATCACTAAGATTCCAATCAGTCTTTCTACTTGTAAAAATCCTTACTAGAACATACATGTAGTAAGGGTATTGCATTTGTCGATGAATTGAAATAGATACTTATTTGGACTATTTCCTCTTTCACACGTAAAACCTGTACTAAATTAATTAAAACAGTAAAAAATGCATTATTTAAACACAATCATCTCCCTTTGCATGCCTTAAATTGCTTCAAAAATAACAATTGTTGTTTTTCTTAAAAAGTCATTATTTGTTTTGTATTTTTCTGGTGTCATTAACGTCCTATAGTCTATTAAGAAAGAAGTCTGCATTTTTGATTAAACGAGAATAGATACTTGTCAATGTCGAAACTAACAATACGCCTGAATTTAATAAGGACGCAAGTCACTTTGCATTTTTAAAAATGTTACCATTGTAGGGTCCGCCATGTTGTTTTCGTTTCCAAGGAACGATTCAACCGGAAGTCAAATGTTAGGAGAATTTGCTAAATTAATGTACGCACCATCGGCATTTGTTTGTTGCTATATTATAGCTCTTATTAAAAAAATGAGTTTATATGATTAATTGAAAGAATGTTCGATTTTGTAGCATGATATCCTGATTGTTCCTGTTTATGTATCCCTCCGTTTTTTCCTGGTGTAAATTATACTTTTAAAATATATTTGCCCAATAAATACATTTTCTACAGCAAATACTTATGATCACTTATGTGATCGCAATTAGTATTTACCCCCATTGGAATTCTCGCCTACATCTTTTACTTCATCAATCATGGACCATTCAAATGCCTTGGGAATGCGATTTTCGGAAAGCCTCGACAATTTTCATTGAATATAACGGTAATAAATTATGTCTCTGAGACGGCCCCTTTACGCGCAAATCGAAATCCTTTCATAAGTTAACCACGTGATATTAATGTATTGCAACTGGGACTATTATACTAACAGTTAGTATAACGAAATCCGAGTTCTACATTTTAATTAGATTGACCTTGATTGATCAATAAAATTATCTGTATATGCATCTGTTCAGTGAAGTTCGCGGCAAAGATTTCTCAGTTTAAAATAGAAAATCATACTAAGGTGGCAATATAAAGAGAAATTCATGGCATAGTCCCAGCATAGTCTCTTAAAGATTTTAAAGACTAATCTTATTTAACAATTAAGACGAGATTGCAGTAAGCATTAATTATAATAAACAGGTATTATACAGCTATCAAATAACATCCTCTAGATGATCACCAGTTATCATTAGATGTCAGTATCTTTTTCTCTCTTACGTGTTTGTTTTCGACTTCAACTGAACTTTTTGCATGTATTATTTCATGCAAATTAAACTGCAATATCTGCTGAAAAGATCTTGTCTTCTTTTCTTCGTATAAGCTTCCTCTATATAGCAATTGTCATTAATATTTTGATATGAGCCAAGGCTTTACCGAACAAGATTAATCGTATTATATAGTATTTTAAGTACACTTTATTTAGAGTCAACACATATATACAAAACAAAAAAAGGTATTTGACTAGTCAAAACATTTACTAAATTTTATCATCGGTACAAGGACATCATTTGTAAATATAAATCAACATGCAGACATCTTATACGTTCAGGTATTTCACATCCAATCTTTTATGGTAATATTCTATACAAAGCACAAAAATGTCGTCATTCGCCTCAAAAGCTAACCAAACCTTTAAACAGACTTATTCAGAAGGGATTTATAGTTACGATACTGTTGTCAGGTCATTAAAGATGGCATATTTTAGAATTACTAGTAATATTGATTCACTCATAGGGTCTTTGCATCGGAAATAAACACATTTATTCTAAAATCAGTTGTTGGCATGATACGAGTTATGTTCTTCTCATATATTTTATGATGGTATGATACTAAACCCCTAACGGGAGGGATTGTGATTGATTTTCATATGATGAAGACATAATCTTTCAATCAGTTTAATTGAGGTCTGAAGCTGGCATGTCAGTTACTGCTAGTAGTCCTTTGTTAATTTATGTATCATTGTCATTTTGCTTAGTTTCGTCTGTTACCTATTCTGACATCGGAAAAAGAGGACTACAAATATGTGCGTATTGATATATGATAAGGTTGCTGATTATTTGTTAAGAAACTGAAACTACGTATACTGAATCAGATATTAATATTTAATTAAGATGTGATTAAAACCATAGTCGTGATACATCAGAAATTTGTCAAATCTATTTTAACTCCATGAAATATCGTAATACAGGTCTATTAGTAAGATAGGGTTTGCATTTTTTAAATATTTAAAATACTTGAAAAGGGTAGGGTACTGGATGTCTCAGGTGCTCACCCCTACCACAAATAGAAGCGAACTGACCCCTCCCCCTTTTCCGAGGACGGACAAACGGACAAAGTTAATGTAATATAGCCCCACTCCTACAATATGTTACAACATAATTGACCTATTGCTAATGGTATCTGAATAAAAAACCTAACCATGAAAATGAGGTCAAGGTCAGCTGAACCCTGTTAGGACATGTAGTACACTTGTCACATCACTGTCCAATGTTAGAAATTGTTGAGGTTTAATCCCGCCACATTGTGCCGTCCCAATCCGGGACACTGTTATTCAGTGGTTGCAGGCCCGTTGGTTCATGTCGGTCATATTTGTTTTTCGTAAATTGTATGGTAATAAATAAGACTGAAACTTTTCTCGTTTGAATTGTTTCGTCACATTTTTCTTGTTAGTACCTTTTAAAGCTTACTATACACTATGGGGTTTTCTCATTGTTAAAGGCCTTACGGTTACCTATAATTGCTTATATCTTCGTGATTTTAACTTTGGTGGATAGTTGTCTCATTGGCAATTATACCACATCTCCTTATCTTTATATATGTACACCTTAATATCATTCTATACATCAAGTATAGTTTACCTTTTGCTTGTATTTAAAAAGGGACCAAACTTCTAAAACTAAGTATGACCAACAAACCATGAAAATTGGGTCAAGGTCAGATGAAACCTTGTAAACAAATATGTACACCTTACCATCATTCTATACACCAAATTAAGTTCACCTATTGATTATTTAGTATCTAAAAATGAAAACAAAGTTAACCTATGAACCATGAAAATTAGGTCAAGGTCAGATTAAACCTAGCAGACAGACATGTACACTTTACAATCATTCCATACACCAAAGATAGTTCACTTTTTGTTTTAATATTCAGTATCTAAGAAATATGAAAACAAGGTTGACCAATGAACCATGAAAATTATGTCAAGGTCAGAAAAACCCTACTACAGACATGTCCACCTTACAATAATTTCATGTGCAAAATATAGTTGACTTACAGTTACGTTGACCAATAAACCATGAAAATGAGGTCAACTACACTTCACAATAATTCATTACATCTAATGTAGTTGATCTATTACTTGTTGTATCTGAGATATGTACTTGACCTCTAAAACATAACTAAAATTTTGATATGAGGTCAAGGTCAACTAAAACCTGTTCAACAGACATGTTGACCTTGTAAGAATCCTATCTACCAAATATATGTATCTTATCAACCACTGAAAAATTTAAGGGATAAAAAAAACAGTTTTTTAAGCAGTTACTGAACCATGAAAATGAGGTCAGTGACAACATATATGATATATTAAAAACAGAAACTTCAGAACATAAGGCATCTGTTGATTAGGTATAAAGCATCTGATTTTATACCTTCTGAAATAATTTTTTTAATACAAATAGTTTACACCGTCAGATTATCATTCCTATGCCTTGCATTCTTCGATATGATAAGAGAAAAGGTTTGACTGTCAATATGACAAGGGTCCAACAAAGAAGATGTGAAGAACTACAGTTCACATTAAATTAACATTTATAAAGTTTCAACTTCCCATGATCCTAGTATCCCAAATGGTGTTAGAGGAGTTTCAGGGTAATTTAATTTTTCATTGAACTCCCGATGATTTTTTTTGTGATTGCTGTAACTATCCTGGATATAACATATTATTCTTCCCTTAGTTTATTTATTTTGTATTTACATTGTATCATAGATTAAATTTATTTGTTCAGTGTATGTTCACTGGTGTTAATATGTCTTTTGATTGAGTTAAGCCATTTCAATTGATATTTTATAGTGTGTCTTTCTATGTTGTGATGTAACACTAATGTTTCAGATAAGGGTGAAGGTTTGGTACCATGTAAACGTTTAAACCTGCTGCAATTATTTGCACCTGTCATAAGTCAGGAATCTGATGTTCAGTAGTTGTCGTTTGTTGATGTGGTTCATAAGTGTTTCTCATTTTTTATATAGATTAGATCGTTGGTTTTCCTGTTTGAATGGTTTTACACTAGTAATTTTTGGGGCCCTTTATAGCTTGCTGTTCGGTGTGAGCCAAGGCTCCTTGTTGAAGACCGTACTTATTCCTATAATGGTTTACTTTTATAAATTTTGACTTGGATGGAGAGTTGTCTCATTGGCACTCATACCACATCTTCTTATATCTAGACACACTTGAACAAGCAGCAACAAACTATCCTGGACATAACATACAGACACACTTGAACAAGCAGCAACAAACTATCCTGGACATAACGTACAGACACACTTGAACAAGCAGCAACACACTATCCTGGACATAACATACAGACACACTTGAACAAGCAGCAACACACTATCCTGGACATAACATACAGACACACTTGAACAAGCAGCAACACACTATCCTGGACATAACATACAGACACACTTGAACAAGCAGCAACAAACTATCCTGGACATAACATACAGACACACTTGAACAAGCAGCAACACACTATCCTGGACATAACATACAGACACACTTGAACAAGCAGCAACACACTATCCTGGACATAACATACAGACACACTTGAACAAGCAGCAACACACTATCCTGGACATAACATACAGACACACTTGAACAAGCAGCAACACACTATCCTGGACATAACATACAGACACACTTGAACAAGCAGCAACACACTATCCTGGACATAACATACAGACACACTTGAACAAGCAGCAACACACTATCCTGGACATAACATACAGACACACTTGAACAAGCAGCAACACACTATCCTGGACATAACATACAGACACACTTGAACAAGCAGCAACACACTATCCTGGACATAACATACAGACACACTTGAACAAGCAGCAACACACTATCCTGGACATAACATACAGACACACTTGAACAAGCAGCAACAAACTATCCTGGACATAACATACAGACACACTCGAACAAGCAGCAACAAACTATCCTAGACATAACATACAGACACACTTGACAAGCAGCAACAAACTATCCTGGACATAACATACAGACACACTTGAACAAGCAGCAACACACTATCCGGGACACAACATACAGACACACTTGAACAAGCAGCAACACACTATCCTGGACATAACATACAGA